ATTCTGTATCTATGTAAATATTTACATAAGAGACCCTGGATCCTTTTCAAGTCTCAGCAAAGCGTGTGATATAGAGGAACAAGAGCTGTCCAACAGAGTGGCTCTTTCTAAGAAAATTCTTCTGGCACCAATTAGAGTTGGGAGCAAAGGTATAGCAGAAAACAGCCAGAAGCAGGAACTGGAAAATCTGGTGTCCTCATTTGTGATCTTCTAACATCTGGCACACACACATACACTGCAAAAGTCCATAGTTTACAATGCTTGTACATTTGCGGTACAGCATAGCCCACTTAATTTCATGCACCCCCACAAAAATGGCCCTGGGATCTCTGTGAGGCTAATGGATAGCAAGTGATTTGAGGAACATGTGCCTAAGAAAAGTGTTCAGAGGGTGTAATGATTTGCGAAGCATGAGAAATGAAGTTTTCCTTCTTTACATTGTCAATGTAGGCTGATTTGCATATAAATTGGACCTGTCAAGTGTACTAATATCAATCAAAAAGCTGTGAAAATAAAACTGAAGTTGCAAATAAATCATTCATTTATGTGAATGTTGCTGTTCATTTATTTTTTCCAAAGCAGTTTGAAAAAGCCAGATTCTGAAAAATGAGATACTTGGGGTTAAGCTTGGAAGGCTGAGAGCTTTGGGTTGGCAATGTGGTCGTTTAGAAAAATGCTACAAGCCAATAGGCATGAAAATATGCACCCACCAGCCCTTTATCAGTGTTAAGCCTGTGCAAGCCCTCTCTGCCCACACTGACACCTGCTGCCCTGTGTAGGGTAAAGACGCTGCCTGAGGTAAATTTGCTGTGCCCTGCTGGGTGCCTGATTTCTGACCTGACCCGTGCCCTTTGAAATGCCACTGTGCTGGAGTCGCTCTACAGGTACGCAATATTCACCTGACCTACACAAATTGTAGTGATATCCAGGGTCCACCTAACAGGGCCAACACAGAAGACTTTGCACTTGGCTCAAAAAAATGGCTCGAAAACGCCATAAGAAACGTTTTCAGTGTTATCTCTTTCAGTAGCTTCTTGCTGTCACTCCACACAAAAGGAGAGGGGTGACGTCCTTGAACCACAGCAGGAACATAATCTGTGGGGACAGCTGCCTTGTCCAGAAATCCAGAAATGTACTCTAGCCCAGCACACAGGTTGCGTCTCTCTTCTTTTTCCCATCCTTTCTTTCTTTCTGGGGCAGGCCATGCATAATGCCCCTCCTCCCCTCCGATAAAGTGTGTTCAGTTCTCTTCTGCTTTAGCCACTGGACTATCCCACACTGAAAAGTGCTGCCTTTTTTGTACAGTGATTCCCCTTCTACAGCTGCCGATCACTTAGCAAAGGATGGAGCTAAGGCAAACAAATGGAGAAAGAGGCTTGGGCTGGGCTGCAGCCAGGCAGTGTTAACTGGTGAGGTCTCACACCCCACTGCCTTGCTTCTTGACAACTTTCTGCCAGAAATTACAGCCTTTTCCAGCCTGCCTGCACAAGAACCTCTGGTTGCTCCTTGATACTGGAAGGCCCCACATTAAACACTGCTGTTGAAGGTCCTCAAGCTAGAGCAAGTCATTCCGGCAGAGCTGCACAATGGAGTGATTGCACATGCAGTTCTGCCCAAAGATGAGAGGAGCAATCGCCTCCTGAGGCGCTGCTGGGACAGGAACTATTCTCAGCTGTCCCTTCCTCCAAGTGTCCAGAGGGAAGAAATAACCTGCAACTTTCCACTCCTATGAGCGCTAATCTAATGCTTTTACCTATTGTTCTCGTCCCACCCTTCTCCTTTGCATGGCTACATGGACAGGGCCAGAAGCACCATCCTCCTTTCTCCTGTGCCTGTCGGAGTCCCTCCATGACAGAGGACTCACACAAGAACAGATACTGCAATAAACAGGAAATGCTTGGTCAAACAATAAAATAAAATGCAATCAAGTGGTGAAAGCTAACATGAATAAACAATAAAAGCAAGTAAAACCAGGAAAAATGGTAACATTTCTAGTAGGTGCCAAACACTCCGAGTTCCTACAGCAGGCCCACTTCAGGCAGTTTTAAGTAGCACAGATGATCGTAGATGTTTTAATGAACCCAAGCAGTAAAACTAATGCCAGCCCTGTGTTCACGCCAGCACAAGAAGAGGCCAAAACATGATCAGAGTTGTGCAAAGGTTTCAGCTCTGCAGCCCTGGGGTTGTATGGTGTGCCCACGTGCCATCACAGGGGCAGGCACAGGGTGTGTTAGTTTTGAGGGGCTTAATGCGGGGGGCTGCCACAACCAAACTTCTGCTGGGTCCATCTCTAGAGGTTCTCCCAGTCTCAGTGTTGTTCTGCCAGTGCTGGGAGTCCTGTGGCTGAGAGCCTGGAGGGAAGTGCCCAGTGGTGTGTGAACTGGAAAGGCAATAAATTAAGAGAGGGTAGATACTTAAGGGGATATGATATGCACACAGGAATTCAGCATCTGCTGCAAAACCCTGCAAACTTCCCAGTACCAAGCATATATCTTGATGTGCCCTTGGGACCTACCCTCTTCCCTCTAACCAGCTGGGTCTGAAAACACCAAGTTGATGCATGCTATGAAATGCAGTGTAGTCTCTCAGTGCCAGACCTTGTTATTCTTTGTGGCTTCCTCTGACAACCTTGCCACCCTGCGTGAGCTCATGGTGATGCCACGAATAGGTCTGAGTCCTGCTGCAGGCGTCTGCCTGGTGCAGTGACATGCAGACCTCCCAGCTGAGCAAGGAAGCATCACTCAGCAGAGACATTTTGCTCACTGATTTGCAGCAGTCCACAGCAGGTATGAAATGGTACCAGGAGAAGAGAGCAACGATTCACAGGTCTCAGCACTTGCCTTGATCTGATGTGAGAGAGAAGTGGCTGCAGTTGCATGGGCAAGACCTCAGAACACCCTGCAGGGCACAGGGGTTTACAGTGCGGGTTTGAGCCCCTTTCACCCTCAACTTGCTAAATCTGCACCTGCCTGATGGCTGCAGGCTGAACCAGGGGCTGGGGAAATAAGAACAAATGTTTCTGCAGACACTGTTCTTGCCAGGAGGATTTTGCTGACTTGGAGCTATTGTGTGCCCTGAGAGACCCACAGACAAACCTGTGCAATAGCCTGTTTGCATATCACAAGCAAGCTTCATGCTGAAGCTACTCAAGTTTAGAAAACTGTAAGCAGCAGTCGTCACACAGGAGAGCAGATCAAACACCTTGCCGTTGCTTACAACACAGTCACAGAAATGTGGCTAAAAAAAAAAGGGAGTTTCTTGTTAGTTGGTTGTATTAAAGTTCCCAGTCTCTGTTTAGTGTGGTACAGTGATGGCACGTGGACATTGAGTATCCCTACCTGAATGCAGCCACGGTGGTGACAGCGGGCTGGGTAGTGCTCCTTTCACACCACTGGCCGTGTGGATGGTAGCAGGCAGGAGACAGGGAAAGGTATTGCTACAGCTCCCTTCTGCCCTGCCTCCCCCACTAATCCCCAGGGAGACCCAGGAAATGGGGAATTTCTGTTATACACACTCCTGCAGAGCATGAGACCAGGACATCGGGCACACAAAGCGACCCTTCACCAGCACATGTTGGATTTGGACTGGGGTTTTGGGAGTGTGTTGCAGCGCCTGCGTGGGTTTCTCGACCAGGTTCACTCAGTGGTGTCTCTATGCCATGCTGTGGAGGGGTTCTTGCTTGGAGCATTCCTCCATCCAGCGACCCCATCCCACGCTGACTGTCAGCAGTTTGTTTCCTCTTCGCAGGGAGTTACAACGGCAGCGTGACAGCACTGTGTTTGCAGCCTGCTGAATGGGGAACAGCTGGAGACAGATGATTGTCTGGGTTATTTGCCTGTTGCCTGGACATTTTGTTTGCTTGTTTGAGCCCTGAAAAAATAGGTTTTCAGTTTCTCCGGAGGCTGGTCTGTGTTAAGCCTGTATATTGTGGGCTGCTTTTGAAAACTGGTGTTTTATAACTTTGCAAATGAGTGTCCTGCTGCTTCAGTGGCAAGGCTCCATAAACAAGGCAGTCTTCTCAGAAATTTCCCTGCCACACAGCCAGCGGGACAGGGGGAGTGGCATATCCAAATCCACACACTTCTGGTGTCAAAGAAGCAGATACCCCTTAATGTGGTCCCAGTTGGACCTCTCTCGAGTGGATTTAAGTGGATGACTAAATGATAGTGATGGCTGATGTTTATGGACTGTGCTTAGAAGGATGCCACTCTCCCAATCAGCTCCTCACCTGGGGTAAACCAGCATCACTGTTGCAGTCATAATACTGCATTAGCAACTGCTCTGTCTGTAACACTTACACATGTTCTCTGGCTCCCTACTTCTGAGTGTTTGTTTTTATTCTGAGCAGCTGAACAGTCCTTCGCCTTGTGAGAAAAGCATCTTTTTTATCACTGCTGAGTGCAGACGTTTTGGCTCTGGAAAACTGAGTTAAATAAGAATAGGCTGGTCAGGAAACAGAGAGGGTGTTGTTGCCAGCTGATATTGAAGAAGCAATATCAGGAAGAATGCAGATTTGGCCAAGACACTTGCAAGCAGTGCCATGGGTCTAGTCATGAGCCTGGATGTGCAGCAATTGTGCAGTTTCAGGCTGTGGCGGCTACACATCCTCTCAAATCACAGCAAAATGTCAGTCTGACACAGACACAGGACCAGAGTTGGGGGTCCATCTCCTTCTTCACAAAAACCATCACTTTAACACTTAGTGTTTCTTTAGAAATCTCTTTATTGAGTAGTGACCAGACCTGAGCCTGTTTGATCTGGCATGCATGGACATGGGGGAGGGGGGCAGGAATAAAAAAAATAACAACACTGCAGCCGATTCATCCCTCCTTGTTTATTCCACCAGAAATAGATTTGGCAGAGTGCATCAGGAATGAACTAATCATCAGAGAATTAATTGGCATGTTTGTTAAAAGGCAGGAACAACACGGTGTACAAATTCATGGCTGGATGGCTGGAGGGTTCAAGCAGCCAGAGAGAAGCGCTGCATAGTGGAAACTGTGACTAGTAAGAGAAGTCGTACAGCTGTGCCGGAGAGCCAGCGGTTGAGAGCTGCCCAAAAGAACCAGGGCAAAAATACACGGGTGTCCTTGCAGACAGAGCTGCTTTCAAGAGGGGCTCCATCGCCCAGGCTTTCCTTCCCATAAGGCTCCCACGTGTGGGGGGTGATGGCTAGCTTGCAGGAGTGGGAGGGAGGGGTAGGAGAGCTACAGCTGGAGAAGGCTCCACGGAAAGACTGTGAAAACACAGAAAGCGGGGAAATGAAGAGGGACACGTCACTCATTGCAAGCTGAAATGCAGAGGGGGTGGTGAGGAGAAGAGGAGCAGGGAGACAGAGATTTGGAAACCTCGTCACAGAAGGACTGGCCTCAAGAGCACAGGTAATGCTTGTATGCAATTCTCTGCCTTTCTTCCCCAGAATGGTTTGTTTCTTCCTCTGGAGGAGACACGTCCATGCACCTCAGAAAGATCTTGTTGGGTTGAGGGACCACAAAATAACCTGTGGGAAGAGCCAGGAGAAGAGGGTACATGAGCAGACTGACAGGGACTTGGAGGTTGGAGGATTGGTACCTACATTACCAGAGAACAGGGGTGTGCAGAGTGAAAGGAGAATGAAGAAAGGAAGAGTGAGTGAATCCTTAGAGACAGCCAGACAGGGAGACATGGAAAGTGTAAGGTCTGTGAGTGCCTACCCAGGGAGAGAGAGAAAGCTTCTTAAGAGGGAGCACCAAGCTCTAGATGAGAGAGAGGTGGAGATAAGTCATATCCTGAAAAAGCAGGTATGCCTGGAGAAGAGGCAAAAGGTATATATTACCTCCTCAGAACTAACAGTACTTTACTAATGTTATGATTTGCAGTAGATGTGTGCTTTGCACTTGGATGGCTTTTTAAAATTCTTCTTTAGCATCAGTATGCCTGCCTGCTGGCAACAGCATCACCCTAGCTGTCTGTCATCAGGGCCGTCAATCAGATCACTTTGTTTAGCAGGATGGTCAGGCTGTTTGAGGGATTCAGGTGCTCTTTGCTTTCACACAACATCCAGGTAGAAAATGAGCAGTGTAACTCTTAATTATATGCAAACCCGCTATTTAACTCAAATATGTTGCCAAACTTGAAAAACTCAAGATACTGCTATTTCTATATAACCCAAAGCTGGATGTGTTTGTGTACCAACATACAGCATTATACCCACACACATATAAACCAAAGAATAATACATTACAGTGGATTTTTAACAAGGGCTTTTGAAACTGGTCATATTCTAGCTGTACCACTCTGGCTGGGTTAATATTGTAGGATCCAATTTTTTAAATTGCTTTTGGCATTTTTCTTGATCTTTCTACTATTACATAATACTACAAGCATATGCTAATGTTTATATTACCCTGATTTTTTTTTTTACTTGGAGAGCTAACAAATGCCATCCGCTTTGCAAGTAGAGCTTGCAAATTCTTTGACTGTTCTGGATTCACAGTCTTGGCAGCTTTCTCCTCTAAAAGGTCAGAGTCTTTTCAGGATTCCAACCTGAGAGCTTTGGCAGAACTGGCATTAACTAAGAAATTGTGTGCAGCTACTATATGTTTTTTTAATGTGAAGCTGGTTGACTTACAGTACCTAAACCTTCTTTGACTTCATACATAGAACATTTTAGTTGCGTGTGTGTAAGTAATATAACCTTAAAATATTCATAAAAAAATCTTAATAATCTTAAAAATATTCTTTAAATAATATTCTTAAAAACATTATTAAAGATGGAGAAATTCCAAATGTCTGCAAAATTACCTTCATTATCTACTGAGATCTTTTACAAAATTGAGACTCTTAAACTTACTTTGATGTTTAATTATCCATTACCATTGCAGTGAGAGCTACATTTTGTGTATTTATGATTTACCTGAGATCAAACTCCCTGATAAATTTCAAAGTATATTTTATTTCTCTGCAAATAACCCAAAACCCAGTATCACTCTTCAGCTTTAATTTGAAAGTACCTCAAAAGAAACTTAGGAAAATTATAAGCGGAGAATGGGTCTCAAATGAAAACCACAAAGCTAATTCACTTGCAGTCCAATATTGCAGGAAAAAATTCCTTTGTTTTAGGTATCACTACAGTAGTTGCTAACTCTAATCAACAAAATCCTCCTCTCAAAGCAAGCATGGGCTTGAGCAAACACACTGGGATGCTCATGCATGGCATCAGGCGAGTATATGTATTTAGGGCAGTCAGAAGTGTGGGGAAGGGTTTGAAGCCCTCTTGATATACAAGGGGCAAGCAAGCTCTGAATCGTAATGCAACAACTCACATGTCTGCAAAAGGAGCAGTGTGTTCTCCTCAGGCTTCAGGGGAGAGAGGGCTCTCTGAAATGAAGCTATGTTTGGCAGCAGGGGAGGATAACCTAGGCAATTCCCCCATATCCTAGCAGGCAGCACAACCCACAAGCAGCAATGAACTTCAGTCATCACACTTGACCTCAGTGTGCCGAAGTCTGGGTCAGGTACCAGTGAAATCTCAGTGCTCTGTTGTCATTCCCTGCTGCATGTAATGAAAGATGCGCGCTGGAACCGGAGTGTACTGGAGCAGCAAGAAACAGAAAAGGTGAACGGGAGAGGGACAGACATGGGAGTTCAAATCCTGGCAGCACTCCTTTACTCCTTTGCTTTGGGGCAGGGATTCAGGCTTGCATGGCACACATGGCACAACTGCTGGTCCCGGCAGAGGTGTGCTTGGGTTACTGAGGTAGCAGAGCTCTTTTATCATGTTGGAGCAAAGAACTGAGAGGTTAAAAGAAGGGAAGAAGGAAAAAAAAAAAAAAAAAAAAAAAAAAAAAGTGTAATAATGAGACAAATATGTCTGTCTTCATTGCTTGCAGATGAAGGGACTGTCCCATGAATCACTAAGCATCCCCTGCTCCAAGGGCAGAATATGATGTAATTTTCTGACAGAGAGCATGCCTTATTATTGTAATTAATAGTAACAAAACCAAAACTGCTATGTTGTTATTGTTATTCTCTGGATATAGGAAAGAGCTTTCATACAAGGATGTAAGCGAGTTTTCCCTGCTTGTCAATCCATGTTCTACCCTGACAGTATTTTCCAGTGCAACTCTGCAACGGATCTGAAGACATACTTGCAGCAGACTTGGGATCTGGTTCCTATTACAGATGACCCTGAAGACTTTTTCTGCTAGAAACCTTGTTAGTGAATATCCATTTGCCTTCTACAATTCCATCTAAGAGCGGAAAGATTGCTCAATTTCTGTGTAAGTGGCTGAGATATGGGAATCTATTTCAAAGATGATTATAACCTGATGTTTACTATGATAATAAATTACAATAGGCTCTCAGGAATGCAGGGAGCAAAGCTACAAAGAAACTTGTCTGTGAGGGGCCCTGCAAATAGAGCGTGTGGGTCTTGTGATTCATTTGGACACCTGATGTTTTAAAAAGCTTGAGATCAAGTAGGGTGAATTTTCAGTATCAGATGTAGGTGGAATGTATCACCACCCTTCTTTTAACAAATACAGAAAGATCAAAGTATACCAGCCCTCGGGTATTGAAACAGGTGGGAGGTAGAAAGGGTAAGGAATGGACAGTCTCTTCATAAAGTTTTAAAACAGAGCTAGGAAGCCACACTGCCTCCTTGATGTTGGCAGCATTTTCAAATAATTTGCAATTAGAGACGCTGGCGTCTGGTAAGTCCTTTCCCATCAGAGAAGATTAAAAAGGCATGCACAGTGCATAATCATCAAAAGAAAGAGGGAAAAAAAAAAAGGTCTAGAGGCTGGAGTATTTCTCTGGAAAAGCAGAGAGGCAGAGGAGCAGTGGTGTCAATGCAAATAGTTTCAAGAAGGTCCATGAAGACCTTTTCATTCTGTGCCTTGGTGATATCATCAAAACTTGCTAGAGATCTTAATTTTGGCAGCTCTGAGTGGGGGGAAGAAGAGGTGTATGTATGTGCGAGATAGGAAGAAGGCAATTAATTTTTTTCCTTTAAATGAATAGTGCAATTAGAAGAAGAATACCGAGTACAAAATACATCCTGACAGGTGGAAAGTAATATTTTGAAAGTAGCATGACATTTTCCATCAGTATGGCTATATTCATACTGCTATTTTAGATAGATGGAAGAATAAATGCAGTTGCAATTAAAGTACACTAGTGATTGAATGTAAGAAAGGCACAAAGTAAAATAATTTATTTACTTACTGCTTTATCTGCTACAGCTTCTAGGAGGTTTTGAGGTGGCTGAATTCTTCCCAGATGGTTAGGAGATGAGGATTATATGATATTCAAAACGTAATTTGATGTCCTCATATTTTGCAGTGAGGTCTTAGACTTTTGATGCATGTACCTGAACCGGCAAATAATTTGGATAATTTGGATGTGCCTACTTCTCACATGAGCCCCTCCATCACTGTGACTACAGATGACTGATATCATCACTAAAAGCCATGAACCTGGCAACGCATTCTTTCTGTTTGCTATATGCAATATATGCATAGTTGATATTTCCAGCCAGTTTCTACTAGAACAGCTGTTCATGACATTAAAAAAAAAAAAATCAGATTCAACAGTGAGGGACTACTTAATTAAGACAAAATAACAAATTAGCATCAGTAAACTGTGGAGAGACTGATCTATCCTCTTAAATTTAGAGATGGTACTTGTCCAGGAGGGCCTGTAGGTTTGGGCTGACTTCCATTGGCTCTGGAATGATAGTAAACTTGAAAGAAGACAAGGAGCTTAGGTAAATGCTTACATCAGTTCATATACCTGTCCTGCCTACTCTGCAGATTTGCTCAGGAGGAACTGACCCCCTGACACCAGGGCAAGATGGAGACAGTGCATAGGGGGTGGGGTTGCCTTTGAGGCTCCATCAGTGGGCAACATCCCAGTTATTGCTACTGGTTAGTGGATCAGATCAAAAAGAACATTGGTTTTTATTCTGGCCTCTATTAAATTCTTGATAAAACACTTCACTGGTTTGTATCTTGCTTTCCCTAATTGCAAAGTGGGGATGCAGCTATTTCTGTACCTTGTAGTACCTCCTCCTGCCATTGATAGCATTTATAGCTATAAGATGCTATCCCATCACAGCTACATATGAAGCAAAGCTACTTTCCTAGCTGCTGCCAGTTGATGAAGCATCTCTATACCACTCAGTGGCTTGAAAAAAAAGTAAGCAGGTTTGTACTTGTGAAAAAGAAAATTCTTCTTTGCTTCTGTAAAAGCTAGGCTGACCAATTTCAACAACATTTTAAAGAAATACATCATCAGAGAGAAATTTGGTGGTGGGGTGACAGGTGGGAGGTGGAGAAAGAGAGAGAGAGTGAAATAAAGCAGTTAACAAGATTTTTTGTCTCCACAGAGCAGGGGGAAGTCAAGATCCTATGAACAGCCATCATGGTGACTCTTTTCCTCTTCTTCATCCTCTTGCCCTGCAGTAAATCCCAGGAGGACTTTCTTGACCAGCATCAGAAATGGGACTACAGAGAAGGCGGTAAGAGGTGGTAGTGATGGTGGGTCAGCCTGAGAGACATTCAGTAACTCAGAGCTGAAGATTCGCCTATTTTGCCTTTGGAGTGAGACACACAGTGCTCATTCATGAGTGCTCTTTCTTGATTCCTGGGTAACTGATGAGATTTCTGAAGAGAAAAATTATTTTAGAAATAATCAGCTGGGGTATCCAGTGACAGCAGAAAACTTGGGCACCTGGAGGCAGAGATTTACCCTGTGAGAGAGAGTTATCTGCTTTTTAATTTAGATCCTCTATATGTTTAATATTTGGCATTTCATTGCAACTCAGTTCAAGTGATGGGAAGTGGAATCGAACTCAGACCACTGACTCATATTTTCTTGTTTTGTCACATTTGTCTTCCTCTCTTCCATGGATGTCCTGCTAACCTAGCTGACAAGGTCAACATAGAAGGCATTAACAGCATTACTCAAACACTTGAGAAATGGGGAAATGGCATCTTCTGGCAAATGAAGCACACCCTGCTGAACAACCCAAACGCTTTACTACCTGAGTTCTCCAGGTAATTCTCTTCATCTGGATGTGGGATTCAGTCATCTCCTGGGTATCCTTCCATGAGCGGGATTCATCTTCTTTAAGATGAACTTTCAGATTGCTCAGCTGTGGGAAGATGAATCCCACTGTCTTGGTATCTGTTGTGCTAGTAGCTCTGATTACTCTAGTAAACTGAATAATCTGCTCACTATTTATTGTGAAATATTCTCAATTGCCATGATTGTATTGTAAGAATTATCCTAAAGAACAAGTAGGCTGTCCTGGGCACCTCACTCCTGTGAGAACAGGCAGGAAAAATGAATTGTGCTACAAATCCACATATGGACTTGGCCACAGGGCAGGGAGAAGAAGCTGATTTGGCCTGTCATGTTTTTTATTTCATTTTCTAACATCCAGATCTGACAAAGCGATTCACTAGTCCATGTCATTGTATTTTCCCTTTTGCATTGCAGGAAATATTAATGATTGAGCACACTCACAAAATTTACTTCAATCTCATATTTCCAGAAACAGAGTGGAAAAGGCAAGGAAAGAAAGAGAGAAGAAGGGAATACTGGGAATTAACTAGAAACCTAATATCACTTAAATCAGAATTGTTCATGAAGCAAGTGGTCCTCTTCCATAACTCAGCTTTCCCTTCAGGAAAAAAAAAAACAACAAAAAAAAAAAACAAAAAAACAAACCCATCCGCAACTGCTAGGCACTGAATCAGTTGAAGAGGAAAGGCTAGAAGAATAAAATAGCACTAGTCTGGAGATGACACAGTATCTGTACAAATTAGGGCTTCAGGAGGATATAGTTGATAGATTATATGTTGCCATTTGGCATCAAGTGGATTTCTCCCTGGCTGCCTGGTGGCTGTTGTTATTAGCACAGAATTCATCACAACTTTCACACTGCCAGTACTGAAATTCATTGGTGCCTAAGATTATCAGGGCCAATATTAAGTCATGCATTTGGAAAACTCTAACTTTAGTCCAGGAAAATGTAAGGCGACTATTCAGCCGTATTTCCTGCATAGGACTTTGAATTAAGAGTTTGCTGGCAAGGACACAGGCTGGTCCATTAGAAATGTTGAGGACTGATGGTAACTCATGGGAACCACTGGCCCAGCCTCCATGTCTGCCGTGGGTTAACAGCAAGGCTAATTAATACTAACTAATATCGAGTAAGATTAGAATAAGTATTAGAGCTTTGTAACACCCACAGGGAGACTGAGAGAAAGCCCTCCATGGGAAGGGACAGGGTTACCCCCAAGCACATCAGTGCAGCCCGCACCTTGCCATGTCTTGATGTCAAACCTGGCTCTTCCTCTCCCTCAGCTCAGGCAGAGGCACAGCCTGGAGTGACACGGGGACTGTGCATTCACAGCTGCACCATGGCATGCAGCAGTCTGCCCTTCATTGGGATGTCCTTATAGGTGATCCCACGCATTGCTGCTCTCTTCTTCTCTACCCCTGCTGGTTCCAGCCAAGCAGGATGATTTTCAGCTGCCCCCTTAAAGCAGGAGTGCTCTGAAGTGCTTCTGGGAGCTCATAAACCAGCTGTCATTCAGCACCAAGCCAGCTGTGCTTTGGTGGTAGTGGAAAGACCATGTTGCCCATGCTGGTCCTGAAGCTCGTGATGTCCTGGGTTCAGATGGGGGCATCTCAGGTGAATTCCCACCACCCAAGGGGCAAGGTGTCCTTATAAGCATCTCTTAATGGCTGCTTGCAAGTCTTTCATCATGAAGGGCCCTTACACACCGAGAAACACAAGGCCATGCTAAATTATTTTGCACGCTCAGTAACACTCCCTGCACTGAGTTATTCTCCTCTATTGCTTTCTCTGTAGTCTCCGCCCTGTCTCTGCAGCTGTGGACAATCTTGTGAGGGAAGTCCAGTCGATGAGGAAAAGGTTAGAAGAACTGAATGAACGCCTCGATGTCATTAGCAAAATCATCCTTCCCATCCGACTGAACTCTCTGCAGAGCCAGAGGCGTGGAAATACTCAGCTGCGGAGACTTCCGAGTAATAGAAGAAGGTTGTATGCACGCAGGCGACCTCAGAGGAGTTAATTTTCTACTGGAAAAAAAGGGAAATCTTTATTTTTTTCATCTGCTTAAGCCTTTCTCAAAGGGATGCTGCTAGAGAGAATAAAGTAAAGGACATACAAGTCAGCTTTAGTGAGACCAGAACTTCTGCATACTGTTGATGCCTTTCAAACCTAGGTCAGTAGGTAAAATCTGACCCTGTTCTTCAGTGATGGCTGTTTTGTGTCCCAAGCAAAATGAGTTGGCAAGCTCAGTCTACTTGAGTGTGAATACCTTTAGGCTATACAGTCATTCTTTCTGCTTACCAGAGGAAGCTCTTTCTATAAAGATCAGGTGAATTTCTCTCTCTGTCCTATTTTCACAGCACTCCATCTGAAACAGCTGGGGAATTTGATCTTCAAAAGTGCTGAATGCCTGATGAATGCAGACAAATAGATTAGTGCCTGGCTTTTACAGCTGGGCAAGGAGGGAGAGAGGAAGCTATGTTTCAAAATACAGCCTTCACCTATTCTCCATCAGTGCAAAGAATGCCCTGTTCACATGTTCAGAGGGTGGGTCGGATTGGATCACCTTGGTCTGTGCATCATGTTTCAAGACTGAAGATGTGTCAGGTTATAGGGACCAAATTTGAACATCCACTTTCTGCAAAAAGCTTTTTTTTTAGCTACCTGGAGCTGGGCACTCAGAACCTTGTTATTCAGCAGATATGTTCAGAACTTCTAGCACTCTGAAAGACATGGCAGTGACTTCTGCCAAGAACCTTGGAAACAAGGGTATGTTTTTTTAAAACTATTTAGATACCTAATGGCATAGATAGTTGTCTAGAAGGATTTTCCAAAATAGCTTAAGAGACAGTTCAGTCCCCCAAATCACAGATAGTAATTCAATTGGTATCTAATTTGCAGAGTATCTCCCCCATATGGAAGTGCTGACGTCCAGACATTTCCCAACATCCTTTAGCACAATTAAGATCTGTAGAAAAAGAACAATTACGTACCCCAAGGGCTTTGGTTCTTTAGGGAGTACCCAGAAAACCCTGCCTTCAGCTTGTCTTTCCCTGTAGCTTCCTGACAATAAAACTGGTGATAAAAAACAGTTCAGAAATCAAATTATGCACTGAACAGTGTAGAGTGGACTTGCCCTTCAGGTATCTAAAGGTAAATCCAAAACAGAAATTCCCAGTGTTGATCCAGTGTTGCAGCCAACTGTGTACCTGAAATCTGTTGAAACATAGGCAGGAGAGTCAGAGAGGAAAATAAACTATTATTTTAAATCTCTTGATGAAGCAATTTATGAGAACAAAAATAAAGAATGGATTGTGTCTAAATGGTTGCGGGGAAGGCTGACATGACTTCTTTTGCAAACACTCTCCAGTCACAAACAGTGAGGACTAGCTATTTCAGGATTCCCAAGGCCTGAGCTTATCGGAAGAAGTTCAGTGACACTACAATAACCTCCAGAGGGAAAGGGGAAAAACTAGTTTCATGTGAAATCTTTCAGAATGAACTGTAAGAAGTAACACAGTCAGCATTTTGGCTGCAACCTGGGAGTTGAGTTGGGGGACATAGGAGGAGTATATGAGACAGTCTGATAAATATTTCCTGGATGTAAATTCTCTTGAGTTCAGGTTTTCAGAAAATAACAGAAGTCTTCACTTGTAATGTCTCTCCTTGGATTTTGCTTGGGAATTTGAAACATTGCTTAGCTAGACAAGGGAAAAATCAAGCCTGTGAAAAGTCTGATAAAAAGACACAGTTGTGCCTTTGGTGAAGTTGTAATCATAATTTTTCAGGAAATGTAGAGTATTTTGATCCCAGAATATATTTACCTAAATTACAAGGAATAACGGGAGAAAAAGGCATTCTTCTCCTTGTTATTCTGCATTCAGAGCTTCTAGGCTAGGCTGTAGCATCAGCAGCATGCTTGCACAGACTGCTGGTCCCTCCAAAGGGATGCTTTACACACTTTGCTTGGGGCTGTAGGGACTGCTGGTCACTTTGGCCTATCTGGAGGAAGAATATAACATAAATGTCAGCTTCCATGTTCATATTTTAGACATAAGCATTTTATGAGGTGGCCTGAAGTTGTATAAAATCAATTGAGGACTACTTGAAACAGAAAGTCGAGGCTTCCCTCAGTCACAGATAGCTGGAGGTGGGAGGTCAGACCAGATCACTGCATGCTTTTACTTCTTCCCTAGATGTCCACCACTTCCAGAGACTGGGAAAGATGGACCTCTGGTTTGAGCCAGTGCATGTATTCCTACACTGATATGTGCAAGTTGGTATTTTTGGCAAAACTCCTCAGCTCAGTGGAGAAACTCACCATTTGTTTTAAAAAAGCACATATAAACTGCAGCACGCAATGTATATTACATTTTTTCAATTTCTTGCATGATGGTGAATAAACCAAGTAATACAAATGGTTAATAAATTACTAGATCTGTGGCCTTGTCACCACTGATAGCAGCCCCTGTCATTCACTCTGTAAAAGTCCATGTCAGGCTCCAGCCCTGCTCCCTAACCTGAACATGACCTGTTTGATCAGATGATCGTGACCAGCTGCTTTAACTTCTCTGCCTTTGCATAACCCTCTCTCTCTAGATGGAAATGCTTTAATGTCACGTTTCTTTTGTAATTTCATTTTTTTGCTCTTTAAGAATACAGGGAAGTTGTGCATCAGCCTGCTTCTGTGCCGCACACCTATTTGAGGAGGCAGGAATCCAGCTGAGCAAGCACCTCGAGGTGCCTCTGCTTCATCTGCCAGGGGTGGCTGCTCTGATCTGATTCGATTCCTGCCTCTGCTACCCTCTCCTTAAACAAACAATCCCAGGCAAGGCACTTTCTCTAGCTGTCACTCGTCTTTTGATATGGCTCATACAACTAAAACCCTCTTGTGATCACAAAGGATCCAAATCCTCCATGCACATAAATATATCCAGATAATAAATATATCCAGCTAATAAATATATCCAGCTAATAAATATATCCAGCTGTCTAAGCCTCCTGTTGTGTTCATTTACATACTTCTGGGAAGAGACCTGGCTGGAGCTGACCGGTTGGGCTAACGCAGGCAGAGGTCAGCGGAGGGAGAGCAAATAGCAGGAGCAGCTTCTAAGATCTTCCCCTTAGCTAAAGCTTACAACATCCACAGAGACACGCAACGCTGCCTTAAACCCACTGTCTTAAAAGACAACAACTGTAAGCCCCCTTAGTTCCGTTTATTATTAAAAAAAAAAAAAAAAAAAAAAAGTTACTATTTTGCAGTTTCAGGAGAGCCGTGCCCCTCCACGCTATGTATTACCTTTGTCAGTACTTCCCCTCCCTTGTATCTTATTTCCTCCAGTTTTCCTCTCTCCCCCAGACGAACAACACCCGCCCCCCTCACTTTACTGCCCCTCACACTTCTCGGCGCCCTCCATCACCTCACCCCCGGGCCCGCCGGCGTCCCGCCCGCCCCGATCCCGCCGCGGCGGGGCCTCCCCCCGCCCCCGGCCCCGCCCCCGGCCCCGTCCCCGTCCCGCCGAGCGCTGCGGCCCCGCCCCCGCCCCCGGCCCCGGCCCCGCCCCCGCAGCCGTGGCGCAGCGGCCCTTGGGCGCCCCCTGGGGGCGGGGCGGGGCGCAGCAGGCGGCGGGGCGCTCCCCGGGCCCTCCCACCGCGCCCGGGCGGGGCCGAGCCGAGCCGAGTTTAACCGAGCGGGGCTGAGTCGAGCCTAGCGGAGGTGAGCGGTGCCAAGCAGAGCGGAGTCATGCTGGGCATGATCAAGAACTCCCTGCTGAGCACGGTGGAGCCATGGCCTTACCAGGTGCTGAGTAAGGGGAAGAAGGTAGGTGGTGGAGAGGGTGGCCGGGCTCTGTTCGTCCAGGGGGCGGTTTTCTGCTCCAGCTGAGCGGGATAAGACGCTGCGAGGTGAAACGGGTATCTTCCGGGCAGCGGTTTTCTCCCAGCCATTCCGGGCAGCTGGCAGTTTCTCCTTCCCCATCTCCTTCCCCAGGAGCAGCTCAGCTACGAGGAGAGGGCGTGCGAGGGCGGGCGGTTTGCGGTGGTGGAGGTGGTGGGGAAGCCCTTTGACGAAGCCTCGAAGGAAGGGGTGCTCAAGCTCCTCAAGTACGTCGGAGGAACCAACGACAAGGGTGAGAGATGCTCCCCGCCCCTCAGGGCTTGGCGGGTGTTTGGGGCTGATCGCCACTAGCAGAGGCTTGGTAAAAGCCGGAGGGATGGAAGTGGTGGCACTGTGGGCCCACCTGGATTGCGGCTCTCAGCACAGGGGTTCTGTGGTGGGGATGGCCCCTCGCTGCGAAAAGAAAACTTCCCACAGGTCAAAGCATGCCCAGCCAACTCGTGCTATGAGTCCACTCCTAACCCATCTCTGTTTCAGGGTAAAAATCTCAAAAATTATTTGTTTAAGCAGGAATGAGTTGTTTTGCAGCTGGGATAATGTGAGGACGGGCACACATACAGCTATCACAGCTCCTTGGGTGAGCAGTAGCTAATGAAATCGAGGGTTTCTGGGGCACTTCGGTTCTTTGATGTGTCTTTGTAGGCAGTAAAATAACTTTTATGACCTTGATATTTTATCATACACCAGCTATTTTTATTCATGAAAGGTTAATTAACAACAAGCTTCTTTTTAATGGTACTTTGTAATCTTTTATAATGGTGCTCCCAGATAAGTGCTTCTAATTCTCAATTTACTGAAGTATCCACATCAGTAATCAATTGTTGCAGGAGTAGAAGACCACAGAGTAGTTCTGAGGCATATACATTTGCTTTCACACCTTTCCCAGGCATCTTGTAGAGGGACTTGTATAGTCTTAATGGGAGTGGGAGCTGGATGCAGAGGGAAATGGCGTTTACAGCAACATGTTTTGGAAAGATGATGATCACTGTTGCTGTAGGAGAAAGGATGCCTTCTATAACATGTGCCACAGAGACAGGTATGGTATCAAAGCAAAATAAATGAGAAAGATGGTTTGATCTCAACTCATTCTGTGGCTGCCCGATCCTGAGCCTTGGAGGTTTCCTACGACTGAAAAAAGAAGGAAGAAAAATGTTCTTCAGTGTGATGTGGTACCTCTCAGCAGTAATAAGCAGAAAAGAAGCATGCTGTTCCTGGAGTGGTGGACAGCATGGACAGTCCTGCTGAAAGCCATAACAGCTCTGAGTTTTGGGGCACTGGAACTTGGAGGATGTCTGGAAGCATTTGGAGGGGTTTAGGAGAAAGCTCCTGTCGCCCAGTATTGGCTATGGGCTCACCACTAAGCGCAGATGATGACAGTTTAAATACTGATGTAGATTTCCATGTGGCACCGACCTGCCCCCAAACTATAGACCTTGTTGTGCTAGAGGTGATTTGTCAGAACAGAGTGTCTCAGTGGAATGAGCTATATGTTTGAGAGCCACAAAAGCAGGTCACCATTAATAAAAAGGCATCCAGAGGTCACTTGGGGCCCTTATCTCCTAGGTTCCTTGTGTAGTCAGTGGAGAGAGAAGTTTGGCCCAAGCAGAAGCATAATGTGGGTGTTCTGCATGCCCCAGAAGACCCCACTTTTGACTGACAGAGAGTTCAGTGTGAGGAGTTTTCCTAAACTAAAATTAACTTTTGTGAATTTAAGAACCTAGACCTTTTTAGTAATGTCTGTGTATCTCTTTCAGGGGTTGGAATGGGCATGACTGCTCCTGTCTCCATGACTGCTTTTCCTGCTGAAGATGGCTCCTTACAGCACAAAGTGAAGATCTCTCTGCGGATCCCGAGCCAGTTTCAAGCCAACCCACCTTGTCCTAGCGATGAAAGCATTAAGATTGAAGAGAGACAGGGGATGACCATTTATTCCACGTAAGAAAGCATCCTGGGATTTCCAGTCCCAAGTGCTGAGGTCCCTAGTGTGCTCTGAAGAGCAGTGTTGGTTTTACCAGGTGACTTGCTGGATGAGGGGTGCATGTGGTAGAAGGAGATGGAGGGATCTTTCTAGACTGAAGACAATGTTTTATGTAATTTCTTATCATTGGTCATGTTGCACCTATTTGGAATATGGATTTTTTTCACTGGGAAAACAAGTGTGGAGGTTAGACCTGAAAGGCTTTTTGTTTCACCTGGGGAGGTGAAGAGCAGGGGAGGGTGAATATGAAGGTACTGGGTCATTTCTAATCTCTGAAAACTATTGTTTCCTCCACTTTCTGGGATCAAGATAGTTCTTAATCATCAGGAATGTCCTTTGGTGTGGTTTGCATCAAACTGCATGTGTCAGCTGAAGCCTCATTTAGATGGACTCATATCAGAGTCCATCATGGAAACAAGCAGCTATTGCATTGTTTCAAATCACCTTTGAATGTCTTCAGCTGTTGACTGGCAACCTGGACTCAAACCAGCATCGCAATAGCAGTATGCTCTTCACCTTGTATTTAACCCCTTGGATGCTCCCCTGTATTCTTGCTTGAATTATTTTGGCTGACTGAACTGTATGGCTCTTCCCTCGCCTTCAACTGCTGCCTGGCCTTTGCTGCCAGTGTGAGCCACCTCTGCAAGAACAGGCTGTTTTGTCTCAAACCTTGGCCCTGAGGCAGGATGGTGAGGTGCAGGCTGTTGTGGAAACAGTTCCTGTTGGTGGGAGGTCAACATAAGCCAGAACAATTCCAGCCTACCCCTTTTAAATAGTATCATAGGCTGTAATTGTTAACAACTCTGTTCCTACCTCCCCTTTTCGTTGGGCTAGCTAGAGTTTGGCTTCCCTTTGTGATCTGGATTCCAGCAGATGCTTGTTCACACCACAGTGAATATGGTTGTTGACAGCACTGGTGTAAAGACTGTGGGCTGAGCCGACTTGGAGATAACCTTGTATTCTAGGAAGCTGTTCCTCTGATATGGCGGTGATTCAAAGGGCAGGGCCATTCTGCTGACTGATATATATGTGCGTCTGTTTGGGGTCTGCTGATGGATGACTGCACCCTGGCTGTGTAACCCTTGAGACTTAATCTATCACAGATAAAGTGCGCTGGTTCGCAAAGAACAGTGCCTGCATGAGTGTATGTTGGTGGGACCTGGATCAAAATGCATGGCTGAATATATTGTGGCTGTACAGTGTTCTCCCTCCCTTCCTTTCTGGGCTTTTCCAGGTCTGTTTAACACCCCTCTGTGTTTGGTTTCTTTGCAGGCAGTTTGGTGGCTATGCTAAAGAGACAGATTACGTGAACTATGCTGCCAAGCTGAAGTCTGCTCTGGGGAGTGAAGCTGCATACCGGAAGGATTTCTACTTATGCAATGGTTACGACCCCCCTATGAAGCCTCATGGGCGACGCAATGAAGTCTGGTTTGTGAAAGAGTGAGAATCTGGCTCCCTGTGGTGCTGGCTTGCACTGATGATCTCCCCATGCTATGTTCCTGTCCTCTTCAAAATAAACTAATAATTTAGCAGAGACAGAAACACATCATTCCTTTCCTCCACACCTATGCCTTGGTCTTTTATGGATCAGTGTTGTTTTAGAACAACACTGCAGACCCCCCTGACGGTCCTGCTCCTTTGTTTCAGACCAGGTCCTCAACCACACAGGCTCTTCTGATCTCCCCGTGTCTCACTTTTATCTCTCGCACTCCCAGAGTTCAATGCTGAGACAGCCAGAAGTACTTATTTAGCAAGACTGGTGCCTGACAGGAGTCACGTCCAAGTGCTGGCAATTAGTCTCACCTGAGGCAGGCAAGGGAACATGACAAAAGTGCATACAGGGACTTTTTTATCTTCTTGAGCTTGCTGCAGCTGTAAAACGCTGCTTTTATCTGTGCCGTTCCAAAAGGAGTCTAAAGGGACATGGGCGTTGCTACCAACACAGTGCGGTGAAAGTAAGCATCCTTTACATTGACTCATAGTGGGCAGGAGAGCAACGCTTCTGTCGTCTTACTGAGAAATGTCATTTAGAGGAGGATCCAGCTTTCTGTTTGCAGCTATCCTTCTGTTTGAGGTGAGACGTTTTGAGGTGTGTTATGTCCTGATCTCAGCTAGCAGCTGGACAATGTAATGGTGGAGACCCCATGATAATTTCTTCACTTTCCTGTTACTTGTGTGTAACACTTCTTTAAAACTATCCTACACAAGGGCCAAAGCTGAAATGTGTGTGGTAATCTAATTGAATTAGAAACATACAGGCTGTGAAAAAAGTAGGTGCCTATTACCTGTGATCCGAGGGTGCATTTGAAGAGTGGTGAGCATCTGGTGGAACTACTGTGGATGCAGATCTTTTTAAAAAACCCACGATTTTCTTAAATGGTGTTAGTTTCTGAAGAGCTATTCAGAGCATCAGTCCTCTTTAGAAGAGGAAAACCTGGCTGTTCTTGAAAACAGGGATTTATGTCAAATAATGAGTAGCCTTTTGGAAAGTGCAGACACAGTTGTAAGAGTGGGTCTTGTTTAAAGAAGACTGGTGATGTTTAACTGTTTAAGCATCAAACCAGCATTTTAGCTGTTGGTTCTGTGAGGGAGGCAACAGGATGTCCACAGTGGGAACACACTCACGCACCTTGCTACTGTGGGTGCCTATATAATTAATACAATAAAATTCAAGCACTTTGCAAAAGCCATTCTTCCTCTGGAGCTGAAAGAGAGATTTGTCAAATGGCATCCCAGGTTCTGGCTGGTTGAGCTGTTTGACGTGCACCTGCTTTCTGAGAACAATTCTCAGCAGTAAAAGGAGAAAACCTGAGGTTCTGAGATGCTTTCCTTTTCTCTCTTGCTGAACCATGTTTGCTGCAGACCTCATGGGAGAATTTGAGGCACCTGTGTGCAAGAGTAGCTAGTCAGGATGGGTAGAAAGATAATGTTTACTTTTTTTAAAAAAACAAAACAAAAACAAGGGGAAAAGCTATTGGCTGCAGTTAGTGATTGCAGTGCAGGGGAGAAGGAATCAAAAGGGAAATCAGGGCAGAGGAAGAGATAGGCATTTGAAGGAGTTTTTTGAGGAGCAAAGGCCCTTCTAAGGCCGTCCCTTAATCCAAAGGGACCTGTTCATGTCCCAGATTATTTTTACCTGTGTGGGTGAGGAATGGAGGGGCACAGCACTGCCCAGTTTATGCATTCTCAGGTTAATTTTGGAACTTGTGTGTAGACTGGAAACAGTCCTTTCTGGCTACTGGTGGTGAATGTCTTGCAATGATCAAAATCCTGAAATTTCTCAAAATTTCTCCTGTGAAGTCTCAGATGTTAGAAAGACCAATAATAAACCTGGTATGAACACAGCTGCACATCTCAGCAGCATTGGTTTTTTTTTTGATAACATGCATGTGAGAGCTTCTGACCCAACAGTGAGAGTAATCCCATCTGTAAGGATTTTTCATGCAGCAGGCAGGGTACAGTTTCATAAACAGTGTTAGCTGATGTCATAGAATCATAAAATGGATTGAGTTGGAAGGGACCTTAAAGATCATCTAGTCCCACCCCCCTGCCACAGGCAGGAACACCTTCCACCAGCCCAGGTTGCTCAAAGCCCCGTCCAACCTGGCCTTGAACACTTCCAGTGAAGGGGCAGCCACAGCTTCTCTGGGCAACCTGTGCCAGTGTCTCATGACCCCCACAGTAAAGAATTTCTTCCTTATATCTAATCTAAATCCACCCTCTTCCAGCTTAAAAACATTACCCCTTGTCCTGTCATTACACTCCCTGATAAAGAGTCTCTCTCCATCTTTCATGTAGGCCCACTTTAAGTACTGGCAGACCGCTATAAGATGTCCCTGGAGCCTTCTCCTCTCCAGGATGAACAAGCCCAACTCTCTCAGCCTGTCCTCACAGGGGAGGTGCTCCAGCTCCCTGGTCATCTTTGTAGCCTCCTCTGGACCTGCTCCAACAGGTCCAAGTCTTTCTTATGTTGGGGGGTCTGAGAGCTGAACACAATACTCGAGGTGGGGTCTCACAAGAGCGGAGTAGAGGGGGAGGAATCACCTCCCTTGGCTTGCTGGCCACCCTTCTCTTGGGGTGTGATCCTAGGATACAGTTGGCTTTCTTGGCTGCGAGTGCACATTTCTGGATCATAGCCAGTTTTCCATCCACTAATAAGCCCAAGTCCTTCTCCACAGGACTCGTCTCAATCTACTCATTGCCCGGCCTGTATTTGTGCTTGGGATTGCCTCGCCCCATGTGCAAGACCTTGCACTTGGCCTTGTTGATCTTCATGAGGCACGGGCCCACCTCTCAGGCCTGTCCAGGTCCCTCTGGGTGGCATCCCTTCCCTCCAGCGTGTTGACCACACAACACAGCTTGGTGTCATCAGCAAACTTGCTGAGGGTATATTGAGTCCAGCTGTCTGTGTTGTTGACAAAGATGTTAAACAGCGTTTGTCTGAATACTAACTCCTGAGGAATGCGACTTGTCACTGCTCTCCACTCAGACATCAAGCCATTGATCTCAACTCTTTGAGGGCAACCATCCAGCCAATTCCTTATCCACCAAGTTGTCCATCCATCAAATCCATGTCTCTCCAATTTAGAGACAAGGATGTCACGTGGGACAGTGTCAAATGCTTTGCATAAATCCAGGTAGATGATGTCAGTTACTCTCCCCTTATCAACCAGTGCTGTAACCCTATCGTAGATGGCCACCAGATTTGTCAGGTAGATTTACCCTTAGGAAGCCATGTTGGCTGTCACCAATCACCTCCTTACTTTCCATGTGCCCTAGCATAGTTTCCAGGAGGATCCATTCCATGATCTTACCAGGCACAGAGGCGGACTGTAGTTCTCCGGCTCTTCCTTTTTTCCCTTTCTAAAAATGGGAGTTATGTTTCCCCTTATCCAGTTAATGCGAATGTCACTGGACTGCCACAGCTTCTCAAGTATGATGGACAGTGGCTTAGCCACTTCATCCACCAGTTCTCTCAAGACCCGCAGATGCATATCAAAAACTTATGCAAACCAAATTGCCTTTTCTGTACATCAAAGGTGCCTGTGTTTTATTTGCACTTTCTAGTTTTTAAATTAAAAAAAAATATGATTTTTAATGTCTGTGCTGCTCATTGACTTTGTGAGCTCCTTGAGCTCAGATATTTGTTGATTTGAAAGACTTTATTTTGCTGGTTTGTCCTTCTACTTGGGGTACTAATCATTTCGCAGCATCTATAAATAGTTATAATGCTTCTTCCAATAAATTGCTATTTTAGGTATCCTGGTGTGGCCCTGCATTATCTGATTGTGTGAGATGGGAGATGATGGAGTGATCTCCTTCTTCACTGGTTCCAGCCTCTGAGAGGCTTTGATGGATGGATGTATTTGTGTTAATGTAGAAACTAGGGGACATGCTCACCTGAGGAAAACCATGTGTTCACAGACTGTGTTCAGGCAAATATTCATGACTGATTTTCCACACCACCTACTATCAGGAAATGTTAGACGTATTTTCACTTTGAAGTCCATCTAGCTCAGTGCCCTGCTGCCAGTGGTGGACAGTTGTGGCCACCTGAGACAGATTATAGGATCAGCACAGCTGTGGGCTGATACCTCTAAATATTTCCCTGTCTCCATGTGGCTCAGGGATTTTTGTTATTGTGGTTGGTGGACCCAGATAGACTTTACCCCATGCATTTGTTCATTTGCTTTTTAGAATTAAGGTGGACTTATTATCCATGGCATCCTTTTGTCCTGTGGCAAGGAGTTCCTTGCATGTGGAAGGGCGGAAATACTCTTTGGCTGAGGGCTTCTAGCAGGTTGTCTTTCTGCTCCGTAGGCAGCTGGATCAGTCAGATTTTTGATATGCTTCTGTCACTGCAATTACATGTTTGTTTGGACAGCCAGACTTGCTGTTGACATTAGAGGATTTCCAGCAATCTCTTTGTGCTGGGGCCAGGAGTCAGAAGTGTGCTCTAGATTTTGACCCATAGCTAGCATGGTCACAGCCACTCCACTGCACATAATTGACTCCTGACCCAATATTAAAAAAAAAAAAAAAAAAAAAGCAGCTTTTTCTTTGCCCCCTCTGGTATTTGTTCAAGAGACAATAGTGCAGCAAATTGCCCAGAGACCTCCCTTCTTCTCTTCTGTGCCTGTGCAGTGCCCTTTTCTGTCTCATGCAAATGCTGAAACAGGAATATTTTGGTGCTTTTCTGATGTTCAACAGGGTGTCATGATGTTAACTCCTGTGTGTGGATTTAAGAAGACAGTGCAGGGGACACTAGAAGGTGGACATCTCTTCTTGCTTAGGCACCTCGGTGCTGTCAGTGGCTGCCTTGCAGGGTTGTTGGGACCTTGCAGGGTTGTTGGGATGCAGTGGGTGTGTGGAGCAAAGGCTGCACGGCCCCTCTCCCATTGCCTTGCTCAGTGGTGAGGTGGAGCATCTCCATGTCTGCCTGTGCTGCCAGCTGGGCTGGACAGGCTCGGAGGGATAATGGTCTTGGGAATTACAGCTGCCTTCCAGAGACAGGAGTGGCCTTGATGATAATTAGCAG